CCCTAGGCTGCAGCAGCATCAGCAGCAGCACTGGGAATCAGTAGTTTGCTTTTAATGTGAGTACAACTCGGTCTCTCTCGTTCTCCCCTGTCATCAAGTCAAAGATTGCTACGAAGAGAGTCACAGTCAGTGGGAGACATTACACATTACACACTACTACACTAACAAATCTCTCTCTCGCAATTTCACTCATCAGTTCAGCTCAAAACTGCTCTTCATTAGCAGCAGCAGCAGCTAGAGCAGAGGATGTCAACCAAAGGCAAAGACTAATCGGACTGTGCAGCAGCAGCAGCAGCAAAGGTCCAGCGGCGGTTAAATCTGTTGACAAATAGAAAGTGAGCAACTCTGCAGAGATCTAGATGATGCTAATTGGCGCCCGGATTCCCTGGCTGGCTGGCTGGCTCTCCTTCTCCTCTCTTTGGAGTGGTCATTAGATGGGCTCGTTTGGCTGTGTAGCAGATCGAGCTAATGACCGCTGCTGCTGCTGCTGCTCGCAAGCAAAAGTGAAACTTTAAAGCAACCGTCCGGAATGTCCATTTTCTGGTGCGGTGGTGGCAGTGTAATGGAGCCACTACCCAACCACTGAACTCTGGATTCCTAAGTGGCCCATCTCGTTCGTTCACTGTGCCTGCCTGCCTCAAATTGGCTGCCTCATTTATTTATGGCGCCGTAACCGAGAGCGAGAGCTAGAGAAGAAAAGAGAGCATCATTCTTCTCGTGGTCCTCTTCTTCTCCTCTGCGCGCACACGTTTAGCCTACGGTGGCACCAACAACACTAAACTGAACAGTTTTTTCAGGAGCAGTTCCAGCAATGCCACCGCCACCATCACTACCGTCGCGCCATTAGCCGCCAATGAAGCGTAAATGAGTGTAGATGAATCAATTTCAGCTGTTGTGTGCAAGAGGAGCAATGGCCGCCGCCGCCGCAAATCGGTCACTTGTGAGCATCACTTCAGTACCCGCACATACACACACTTTGCTGGAAAGAAAGAAAAGTACTACTCGGGAAAGCAAACTTTCCCTCCTCTGTGACGGTATTTTTTATTTGGGTGACCTTACCCAAACTGAGTACAGTGCTCTAAAAGAGAGCTTGCACCAGCAGTTTTGGCTACGGCGACGACGACGGCGACGAGAAGGAAAAAAAGCAATCGCCTACGTAATAGAGAAATAGAGCTGCAGAACGAGCCGACACATTTATAACCAAGGTCTGCAGGAGCCACTGTTCAAATAATGTCGGACACAGAGAAACAAAAGTTGCCAGCAAACACAGCAACAATAGTAATAATAACCTAGCTCAATCTATTTTCCTTTCCTCCCTCCCCGTCTTTTCTTTTCTTTCATTTCACTCATTCGCACTCTGTTCTCAAGGCAAAGAGAAAAATGGAAAAAAGTTGACGAGCGCAGCAAAAAATCAACAGCATAAAATGGATCTGCTGTCCATCACACAGTTTAAGACACACATAACATAGGCAACCACCGACAAGTTTGTGCCGGGCCCAGAGAGAAAAATGATGATGGTCACTGTGTTGAAGAAAAAACTGACTAGGACTAAAATCGAGTCAGCTTTTTAAGCAGTGGAATGCCGCAGCAGCACATCTGGTCACCAAAGTTTTCTGCTCGCCTTGCTGCCGCGCATCCATCCACACAGTCAACAAACAAACAGAGAAAATGGGAAAATGTTCAGTCTCACTCCGAGTTATTGCTGGTGTTTTGTAAAAAAAAACTTTTCAACTGCATCAGCATCAGTGGAATTCAAATGGGAAAAGCAAACAGAAGAAGAAGAAGAAGAAGAGGAGCTCACTCACTTTCTCTCTCTCTCTCTCCCAAGTGTCCCCAAAGTGACATTCCTCCCTTGCACCAAAGCACAGAGTGCAATGTACAGTGTGCACAGTGTTTCCAAACAGAAGAGTAGGTAGTAGACGCGGAGCAAAAAGTATCTCTACCTAGGTCCTTGGTGTAGCACACAAATAGACACACACACAACGAGTGACATTATTAATAATGCAATGCGCGAGCGAGCACTGATTGCCGACGCCAGGACACACACACACAAACGACAAAAGACAAACAAAGAAAGCGAGGAGAGAGAGAATAACTTTCGCCCAAATCGAAACACTACTTCTTTTTCTTTTTTTCCAGCAGCAGCAGCACTGGTGCTGGTGGTGACAATGATCATCACAAATGAAACATTTATGTGTGCAGTGTGGGCACAAGGAAAAATATCACAGACAGGAAGGAACAAATTCAGTCTTGGTGATAAATTCGCATTTGCATTGCGCTGCAAATGCATACAAAAAGTCTACTTTCATTCTTTCTTAGCCAAACAAAGTGAGAAAATCTAAATCTAGAGGACAACAAAGCTGCAACAGCAGCAGCAGAGGCGGCAGCTTTGCCCACTTTGTCATTGTTAGGAAAGCTGTGTTAGCACACACAGCTCAACAGCAGCAGAATTCCAGAATCCTGTCAACAGAACTCTGTGTAATTATGATTAACGGGTAGGGTGAGGAGAGAGAGAGAGGGACAAAAAGCTGTTCTCAGAAGAAGCAACACTAAACCAAGTATCACAAGAAATAGAAAATGAAACACGAACTTACCGATTATTGCAAGGGCAAAGAGTGCAACGACGCACAGGAGGTAAAGGGAGATGGAAGTTCTCTGTGGTGATGATGATGATGACGGTGGCAATGGTGGTGGACTTGTTGAAGAGCGAGGTAGTAGTAAGGCATTTGCTGAGGATGATTGTTGTACATGGATGGGAAGAGTGTAAGTTTGAGGTAGAGAGGAGTGATCACAATGTCTTTGGTGGTAAGCTGCTGCTGCTGAAGGGGAAGTTGATTGCTCGAGCAATGATGTGACATCTTCTTGAAGATCACAAGTGTCAAGAACTGCTGAAGAATAGCAGGCCATTGGCCTCCACATTTCCTCCACCTCTTCCTCTTCTTCCATCCTCTTGGTGATTGCTTGTGGCAAGGGTGATAAAGTGGATTACCAGGTGATGTTGTCAATGATCCAAGTCAAGATGCACCAGAGTAAACAAAGTTGTCAAAGAAAGAAAGCTGCTGCTGTTTTTGGTGTTTGCTTCGAAAAGCCTGGACCGAGCTCATGTNGATCACAAGTGTCAAGAACAGCTGAAGAATAGCAGGCCATTGGCCTACACATTTCCTCCACCTCTTCCTCTTCTTCCATCTTCTCGTTGATTGCTTGTGGCAAGGGTGATAAAGTGGATTACCAGGTGATGTTGTAGTGGTTGTCAATGTTCCAAGTCAAGATGCACCAGAGTAAACAAAGTCGTCAAAGAAAGAAAGCTGCTGCTGTTTTTGGTGTTTGCTTTGAAAAGCCTGGACCGAGCTCATGTGGCGACTGGTGAGAGGAACCGCTGAGGTGGGCGCCTTTTATACTCTCTGTCTGGCTGTCTGTCTGGACGACCATTGAAGCTGCTGGTGCTGCTGGTACACTGGTTGAATGTTTGGCCATCAAACTCTCTGGAGAAGGAGGAGGATATATAGCGATTCGGACGAAAAGGAAAGAGAGAGAGAAAATCTTGGTATTAGTAAAAGTCGCTTTCTATATGGCNCTGGAGAAGGAGGAGGATATATAGCGATTCGGACGAGAAGGAAAGAGAGAGAGAAAATCGTGGTATTAGTAAANTTGAAGCTGCTGGTGCTGCTGGTACACTGGTTGAATGTTTGGCCATCAAACTCTCTGGAGAAGGAGGAGGATATATAGCGATTCGGACGAGAAGGAAAGAGAGAAAATCGTGGTATTAGTAATAGTCGCTTTCTATATGGTGCTTGGTGAGGTATTACCAAGCTGAAGTAGGGCCATTGCAGACCGTAGAGACATCTTTGGCAGTCGAAACGTACCAAGCTAACAAAAAACTTTGATCCAGAAACTTGAAACCAGGACCAAATAGAACCGCAAAAACAAAAATCAAAATGAGCGCAAACAAAAGAGCGACACGAAAAAGGCGGCAAAAATCTTTTTTCAAGGCGCCCTTCATAAACAACGGAAAACATGGGAGTTTGGAAAACTAGAGCACCGAAGTTTTGGTCCTGGATAAAAAATGAATGGATTTTCACTTTCAAAATTGCGCCACTTTTTTCGTTTGAAAATATTTTCATGTTGTACTTTTCTCCCCGCGCTCATGTCGTCACTTCTCGTCTGACCACTAAAGTAGCAGCAGCAGCAACAGCAGTTATCTTCGACAGCAGTGAAAGTAGCGCTTATCGTCCACACACAGTTTTGTGTTCGACCTTGAAGAGAGAAGACAGGATAGCTGTGTTGTGTCACCGCTGTGTGTGTGTGTGTAACTGAGCTAAAGAAGATAATGCTAAGAAGAAGAGAGAAGAGGAGAGGAGAAATCCGAGGAAGAGCGAGGGAAAAAGTGGAGAGAGAGAAATCCTCCTCATCATATCACCTGATCATCAACATCATCATCATTACCATTGCTCGATGTGTCCTCGATTTCTACTTCGCCGAAAGTAGCTCTCCCTAGCTTTCTTTTGCTGTCTGGATTCACCCTCGAGGACATTCTGGTCATTACCATTACCATTACCATCACCACCACCACCACCATCATGCCACTCATTCGTTTGTTTACCCGAGGAGGACTCTTCACATCGCAGGCATTTCGAAATGGCAACAGCATATCAGCCTCATCTCGGATCATCAGCCATCACCATCAACACCACCATCACCACCAAAACTACCAACTTCGAAGAGTCTTCTCCAGTGATACCTCTTCGGAGAAGACTGTCCTCCAACAGGCTCACTCCTCACCTCCTCCTCCTCCTCCTCCTCCTCCAAACTCCAGCAACTTCAAGGGGGAAAAACCGGAGTTTCCCGGCTCCCGGTCCACCTTCACCGACCGCCTGGAGCTAATAGACCCGGAAGCCAACGAGGGCATCCCCGTGTATCGGGTAATGGACCGCGATGGGCTGGTGCTGGCCGCCGACCAGGACCCCGCCCTGCCCCAGGAGGTGATCACGAAGATGTACAAGATGATGACGTTGCTCAACCTGATGGACCGCGTCCTCTACGAGTCGCAACGCCAGGGCCGCATTAGCTTCTACATGACCAACTACGGCGAGGAGGCGATCCATGGCGNTCGGGTAATGGACCGCGATGGGCTGGTGCTGGCCGCCGACCAGGACCCCGCCCTGCCTCAGGAGGTGATCACGAAGATGTACAAGATGATGACGCTGCTCAACCTGATGGACCGCGTCCTCTACGAGTCGCAACGGCAGGGTCGCATTAGCTTCTACATGACCAACTACGGCGAGGAGGCGATTCACGGCGGCTCGGCGGCGGCCCTCGAATCGGATGACCTCGTCTTCGGGCAGTACCGAGAGGCGGGTAAGTTTTCTTGAAACCTTGGAGTTCTAAATCACCAGTTCTAAAACCAAACCTTTTTTAGGCGTTCTCATGTGGCGCGGCTTCCCCCTCTCCAAGTTCATGGCGCAGTGCTACGGCAACTGCCAGGACCTGACCAAGGGCCGCTCCATGCCGATCCACTACGGCACGGCGGAGCTCCACTTCGTCTCCATCAGCTCGCCGCTGGCCACGCAGATGCCCCAGGCGGTGGGCGCCGCCTACAGCCTCAAGCGACAGGGCAAGGGCCGCGTAGTGATCTGCTACTTCGGCGAGGGGGCGGCCAGCGAGGGCGACGCCCACGCGGCCTTCAACTTTGCCGCCACTNCAGGCGGTGGGCGCCGCCTACAGCCTCAAGCGACAGGGCAAGGGCCGCGTGGTGATCTGCTACTTCGGCGAGGGGGCGGCCAGCGAGGGCGACGCCCACGCGGCTTTCAACTTTGCCGCCACTCTGAGCTGTCCGATTATCTTCTTCTGGTAAGTTGTGGGATTTGTTTACGAGTTCGATTTGCCCTCAGGATCCTGATCGGTACGACGTCTGTGAAGTGGACCACCAGACTTGGGATTCGATTTGGATCGTTGGAGTTTCTAAAACCTCCCTCTTTTTTTGCAGTCGAAACAACGGCTACGCCATCTCCACGCCCACCCGGGAGCAGTACCGAGGCGACGGCATTGCCGCCCGCGGCCCCGCCATGGGCATTCCCTCGATTCGGGTCGACGGGAATGACATCCTGGCGGTGTACAACGCCACAGCGGCAGCGCGGACTGTGGCCGTAGAGGAGAACCGACCGGTTCTGATTGAAGCAATGGTAAGTGATTCCTATTTGTTTACAACCTCTTCATCTCATCCTCTTCATCTTCACCAGACGTACCGCATCGGCCACCACTCCACCTCGGACGACAGCAGCGCCTACCGCAGCGTCGACGAGGTGCGCAACTGGGACCAGAAGGACCACCCGATAGCGCGGCTGCGAAAGTACATGACACGCAAGCAGTGGTGGAACGACGACCAGGAGAAGGCGTGGAAGGAGGAGGCGAAGAAGAAGGTCATGACCGCGCTGATGGTAAGCACAATTCGAGGACTTCTCTTCTAAAACTCCTAACCCCTCTTCTTCTTTTTAGGAAGCAGAAAAGCTGCCCAAGCCCAACTACCTGGAGCTCTTCACCGACGTCTACGATGAGCTTCCGCCGCTCCTCCAAGAGCAGGCCGCCGATCTGGTGGAGCACCTGAAGCACTACAAGGACAACTACCCGGTGGGCAACTACAAGGCCGACTAAAATAACAATTACCGGTTCGAGTACAATCTTTTCTATTATGACAAGAAGAGAGACACTTGCTACAGCAGGAGGGAACACACACTGAAAAAGACTTCTGATTAAATTAAAGACAGGTGCTGGTGGTGTGGGTAAGGGATTAAATGCAAATCATCACCGAGCTGAAAAACACTGACTATTTGGAAAGAGAAAGACTCAAAAGGTAAGGTGGTAAAATAAAAGCATCAGCTGAGATTGTAGAGGAGTTGCTGAGGAGGAAGAGGATGGCCCTAAACCTCGGAGAGGGCGGCAATGCCGGGCAGCAGCTTTCCCTCAAGTAGCTCCAGGCTGGCCCCTCCGCCCGTGCTGACGTGGCTCACCTTCTCCTCGGTGCCCCACTTGGCGCAGCAGGTGGCGGTGTCGCCGCCGCCGATGATGGTGGTGGCGCCCTTCGAGGTGGCCGCCACCACCGCGTCCATCACCGCCTTCGTCCCTTTTGCGAAGTTGTCGAACTCAAACACGCCCACGGGGCTGGGGGGGAGGGGAAGTCAAAGGATCAAGATTAGAAAAGGCAACAAAAAAGGCTTCCCGACAACTCACCCATTCCAAATGACCGTCTTCGCGCGGGCCAGCGGCCCACTAAACAGCTCCACACTGGCCGGGCCGCAATCGAGCCCCAGCCAGCCATCGGGAATGCCCGACTCGACGGTGGCCGCGCCCACCGCCGCCGTCTCCGAGAACTTGTCCGCGGTGACAAAGTCCACCGGAAGGTGCAGCTGGACGCCATTCGCCGCCGCCTTGTCCACCAGCTTCTGCACGATGGTGGCGCCCTCCGCATCGAAGAGCGACGCGCCGATGGCCATGCCCTTGAGCACCTTCAGAAAGGTGAAGGCCATGCCGCCGACGATGATCATCTCGTTGACCTTGTCGAGGAGGTTCTCGATGAGCTGAATCTTGTCCTTGACCTTGGCGCCGCCGAGGATCGCCAGCAGCGGGCGGTCGGGGCTGTAGAGGACCTTGCTGAAGTAGTCCAGTTCCTTCTTCATGAGAAAGCCGCAGGCGCGCTGGGGCAGGGCAATGCCGGCGATGCTCGAGTGGGCGCGATGGGCGGTGCCAAAGGCGTCGTTGACGTAGACGTCGCCGAGGCGGGTGAGCGAGGCGCGGAAGGCCTCCACGTCGGCCGCGGGCGCCTTCACCTTCTCCCCGGTCTCCGGGTTGACGCCCTTGCCCTCCTCCTCGAGGTGGAAGCGCAGGTTCTCCAGGAGGATCACCGTGCCGGTGTTTGGAGCGGAGCAGCTCGCTTCGATTTCGGGGCCCACGCAGTCGCCGAGGAAGGTGACGTTCTTGTTCAGCAGGCGACTGACCTCCTCGGCCACCGGGCGGAGGCTGTACTTGGCGATGCGGGCGCCATCCGGCCGGCCCAGGTGGCTCATCAGCACCACCGAGCGGGCGCCCTTCTCCAGGGCGTACTTGATGGTGGGCAGGGCGGCGACGATGCGCTGGTTGTTGGTGATCTTCCCGTCCTTCATCGGCACGTTGAAGTCGACGCTGTGGTGGTGGTGGACGGGAGTGGGCGGAAGGGGTGGAAATAGAAATCGAAATTAGAGCCGGTGATGCAATGCAATGCAAATATAATCGGTAATGGCTTACCGAACCAGGACGCGCTTGTCCTTCAGCTCCAGCTTGTCAATCGACAGCTTGCTCGCGAGCACGTTTTGGGCCATGTTGGTCTTTTGGTGATGATAAGGTCGGCTTTGAAATGCAAAGAGGCGCCTGGAAATGTCTGTCAAAGAGATGTAAAAAAACAGAAGTGTGAGTTGTCAGTGTACCAAATGACAAGTGTACAATGTCAAACTGAAAAAAAGTGAGAAAGAAACAGCTGCTAGTTCTAAACGATGGAAAAACACCGGTCACCCAAAACTCAATGACAGCTGAAGGTCACCGAAAGAAAGTGATGTTTCGGGAAACAAAATAGTCAAAGTCAAAAACTTGAAACACGTACCTTTAGCGAAAAGGGCAGTAAATGCGAGAATGTTGAGAAGAGCGGAGAACCGGAGGAAAACCGACGACGACTGATGTGAGTTGTGGCAGCGGCTAAAGACGTGACAGCTGTCTTCTTTCTCTTCACTGAAGGTGATCAACACATTTGCGCTGTGAAGGAGCAGGCGCCGAGAGAGTGATGCTAACGTGAAAGCGAGAGTAGCGGAGAGAATCCTGGCGCAAAGGCGACTGGAAAATCTTTTGGTTGCAATGTTTTGATCGCCGGTGGCGCCCTCTCTGAGGACGAAAACGAAGCCGACTATTTTTAAAACTCCTCGAGAAATCTCTTAAAAGTAGAAATCTCTTTAATGAGAGTGCGCAGCTGAAAAGAAAGAGGAAGAAATGGGTGATAATAATAATCAGCTGCTGCTGCTTTGGTGCTTGCTGAGAGAGAAGAAGGTGAGGAAGATTTAGAACCTCAAATCTTCAGAAGATGTAGCGACGAAGGAAGCGCTGCGAGGCGGCGTCCTGCGCCCCACTTCGATCACCCCCATACAGGCGCAGGTAGAGCATGTAGGCGAGGGCGGCGAGGATGGCAATTAGCAGCACGATGATCATCCCCGGACGGGAGGTGAAGGGGGCGAGGAGACCGCCACCAAAACGACCACCAGGGTCCTCTTCGATGGCAGTGGCCGGGGCGCCGGCCAGCGAAGAAGCTCGGCCGCCGACGCCTGAGGGTGAACTTCCACCACCTTCTCCTGTGGGAGTGGCCGATCCTTTTTCAGCGGATCCCACGGGCACCGACTCTGTTCCCTCTCGCTTGGATCCACTCGGAGTGGGAGTGATCTGCGGCTCAAAGCGAATGTAGATGCCCGTCTCGGTGATGGGCGTGGTGCTGGTGATGAACTGGTCGGTTGGTTGGGTGGAAATAGAAATCGAACCGGGTTAGCAGCAGCAGGTTTTGTTTTTGTTTACAAATCTCAGCTTGCTTCAGCTTACCAGAGCGCTCGGATTTTCGGCACTGCTCTTGGTGGACGCCGGCGAAGAAGACCACGAATCGTGGGTCGAAGTAACTTGGCGCCACTTGAAGAGCAACTTCTGGCGGGTGGCCAGGAGGGCGTCGAGGGCCTCGCCGCCCGGCGGCAGCGGTCGCATCTCCGCCTTCACCTCCAGCGAGCTGCCCGCCGCCACCAGGCCGTAGTTCGGGCGGACCAGGTAGCGACGCGGCTGGGTGATCAGCACCTTGAAAACGTACGAGTGCGGGCTCTGATTCACCACTGTGATGGTCGTCTTTGAGGGGCGGTCGAAAGGGCCTGGAAAAAATGTTAAAGAAGTTGAAGTTTAAGCAAAGAAGATCACTTACCCTTGAAGAGGACTTCGGAGGGAATGAAGGTCAGCCCATCTGCAACCGGTGGAGGATTAGATGAGGGAGAAGCGGTTGATGATGGCTCATTTGGAGCAGGACTTTCCTCGCCGCCGCCGCCGCCGCCAGATTGACCTGAACCAGCGCTCATAGTTTGCTTGCTTTGCTTGCTGAAGAAACTTGGAACGCCTTGAAAGTTCCGAAGCGAGACAGAAAAATTGCAGAGATGCTAGATCGAGGAGAAAGAAAAAAGGTTTTGCTGCCTAAAAGAGTTGACCAAATGGGTTTTATGAGATTTTTCGCGTTGTGTTGCGTCATCAGTTGGAAGTTCGAAGTTTTTAATTAAAAAAGAGAAAAAAAGAAAATTAATACAGTAAAAAAGAAATTGAGAAGGCGGTAAAAGGGGAAGAAGAGATTGTTGCGTTTGAGAAGGAGAGCTGTGGATTGAAATTAGTGCGTCAGAGGTAGGAGTAAAATAAAAAAGGGCTGGAAATAAAAAAAACTTGAATCTAGAATCTAAAACTGAATCACATTGACCTGGCCCAGTACCAGAAAGAGCACCACCGCAGTGAGGGAGATGGTGGCGACGCAGGAGGCCCTCACGGGGACCAGCAGCAGCCGCGCCGACATGTGCAGCGTGCTGGTGTAGTTGAGCAGCGAGTCGAGGTCGCTGTACGGCGCCGACTGGTAGCAGAAGGGCCGACTGCGCAGTTCGTGGCCAATGTGGCGCACCGACTTGCAGGCGAAGGTGACGCGGGCCGCCTGCACGAGGACCATCAGCAGGAGGAGCAGCCAGAAGGCTACGGCCAGGCCGCTGAGAAGGGAGTGCTGGGCAGTGCGGCCCGTGGTGGTGGTAGCGGAATTATCTGCCGATGTGGTGGTGGAACTTGAAGAGCTGGTGGAGCCAAAGAGGCACTCGATGATGACGACGAGAATGCGCG